AAGTGACAGTTTTCCTGCTAAGTACCTGCATGTCATAAGCATTTGAATTAAAATTACCATATTGAAATCAAATCTGATGTTTTTTAATTTTTATTTGGTGTGCGTTGGAACAGGGGTAGTTTATACGGTGAGTATAGCCCAAACTCTATATTTTAACTGGAAAAGTTGGGGGTCGTCTTATACGCCCAGTCGTCTTATACGCCGGAATATACGGTAATAGTTACAGGCTTAAAATAAAAAAATAATAATAAACATATAGTCATACAGCAAAATATTGTTTTTATGCCCTATAAAATTATTTTAAACTAAAAATAGCAAATATAATTCCAAATGTTGTGTTCGGTCTATGGGTTATCATATAAAATAAATTTACAATGAGGTAATTTTTTCTATCAATGTCTTCATATTACAAAAACAATCATTATTTTCTGTATTTCATTTTATTCCAGTCTTTTAAAAAGCGGAGGGTTTTTTCTATTTGTTCCAAAAATCATTTATGTTTTTAAATATTTGCAGTTTTGGTGAGGTATTGCAGATATTAACTTATTTCTATTGTATTTTTATAGGAATACTTTAAAAATACTATGTATTTTTACTGCAGTTCAAAAAAGATTTCATGGACCCGTTCAACCTGGGAGTAAAATTGCCAACTACAACATTCAGATCTTTGATATTTGCTGCACGAAGAGCTTGTTTTAATCAATACAATCTGCAGGTCCACATGCAGATTGCATGCAATCTAGCCTGCTCACACATGCATATGTATACACACACTTGGACAACCTCCCATCATTCCAAAGAAACTTCCCCCTCAATGATCTGTTTACAGATTGCTGGATTCCCAGTGTGGAAAATGATTCTGTATTCTAGTGACTCCAATCAAGATTACTTTTTCCTGTGAACAACATATTCCCATCTATCCAACATTTGAAGATTGCTGACTTGTAGTGGCGTAGGAACAAGCAATCTAGTACAGGGGTCCCCAGCCCCTGGTCCATGGACCGGTACTGGGCCGCGGCATGGCAGCAACCAGTCCGCATAAACAAGCAAAGCCCCATCCGTGGGATGCAGGCAGCACACAAAACCACACACTCTCTGGTCCGTGGAAAAACCTTTCTCCATGGAACTGGTCCCTGGCGCCCAAAAGATTGGAGACCTCTGATCTAGTACCTGCAGCCAACTGGATGCTATAAATATCCTGGGAAACAAACTGACTGACAGAAAAAATGGGCAAAACTTCCAAAGAGTTCTCATGCCGTTTGCAGCTGAGGCCATAGGCAGTCGATGGACTGTAGGCTGACAACCTATTTTCTAATGCTGTGATTATTGACCTGTTTGCTCTTGTTTTGTTTTACCAAACAGAGCCATAATAACTGAACTATTATAACTATGACCCAATGTACTCTTTGAAGTTATGTGTACAGTCCCTAACCTGATCTTTAGTTGATGAGAAACCTCTTTTTTGCCTACAATAAATATTATTTATTTTGAAGGATATCCAATATACAATGGTACTGACTTTACTAGAATCAACATTGTAGCTATCTTGTTTGTTTCGTGGACATATTCATCCACCAACTTTCACAACCTAAATAGTTTCAACAGAAAATAAACCAGAAAAGTTATAAATCAGGAAATCCACTTATGGTTATAACTGTTTATAAACTAGGCTTTAACCTTTAGTCTGGGTAGCAAGGGGGATACATTAACAGTATCCAGTCCTAATGTTTAAACTCCAACAAGCAGTCCAAGTACAATGTTTAAATTCCAAGGGGGAGAGGAAGAAAGGGAGGGAGTCTCGGTGAAAGTAAAAGAAAGATGAAGTATGTAGTAGAAGCAAATGAAGATGTGAATGAGAATGGAGTTGATGAATACATGTAATGTGTGCCAAAAAGTATATATTGGTGTCAACTAAACTCCTGTAGGTACAGTACTGTATTTATGAGAGTAGGAATCCATTGCTTGGTGACAATTGAATATTATACTCCAGTGAATGGTGATGGAAGAACCAGAAACAAAAAGTGTTTTGTTTTTTTTTAGAAAACTACACAGCTTGTTGAATATGATGAGAAGGAAAATACTCTTTAGGTGACATTGATTGATGGATTGATGGACAGATAGATGGAGGATGGATTGGAATTAGATAAGTATAGAAAAAGAAGTTGAGCCATTTAAGGACTCAAGAATTAATGAGAATTGTGAACCATTTGGTGAGCAGAAAAACTGGTTTCAAATAAATACTTCAAGTCTACTTGTAAGTACACCTGGCAAACAATGAATGTACATTTTTAAACCACCATTGATGTGATTATTTAAAATGAAAGATTGAATTTTGAAGAATGCAAAGTGGAAAGAGGTTTTGAATATGGCAATCATTCAAATACAATGCCTCTAAAAATCACAGAAGCTGTATCATATCATCAGGACATAGGCCCCACCTTTTCAGGCTCATGTCACAATATCACATGTAAATTTATAGGGGGTATGTGAGCTTGGATTGTGATGTCACAAAACACATTTTACACACACTCTCAGCAGCTGCTTTCAGTCAGGCCCTGTGGAAGATCACTGTTTTAACTCTTCTGAAATCACACAGAGAGGGACAACATGATCTCAGCATAATGATATGGATTATGGAATTATAAAGTATTTTGCAAACATCAGTTGTCAAATGTGGTAAGAATGATATATGGCAAAAACTAAAAGCATATATTTATAATAGAAGTTTATATGAAATTTTTATTTATGAATATTATATATCAGTGAACAAGGGTATAACACGGGTAAAGTTAAAAACTAAATATTCAGGCACAAATTTTTTAGTAGTTTTCTTCTCTCTTTTCCCTTTGGTAGATGATTTATCTTTATGTAATAACATTTGGCTGTGACATTAATAATACTTTTCTTTTTCACTAAAAATAATGTATTTCTAT